ATTCATCCTTGGAAAAGGCTTCACACATCCTTATCAAATGCTTGTTACGATATGACTTAACGTCATACGAGTTTGCTTTATATTTAAATCACCCCGCAGGCTTAAGTATCCTCGGGTACCATAAGACAATAGGGGAATACAGGGAATGACGATCGGAGACCGTCTACCATCTATGATCAATCACAACATCAATCTACTTGACGATATTTTCTTTAATTTGGCAAGATGATAATCAGTTAGCCTTACTAATTCAGTTGAGCCAATCTTAAAAACTGATATTTGAAATAAAGAGTGATTTTTTACAAAAGTGCTGTTTCTTCCGTGAACAAAGTTAACCGAAAGTGCGCGAACCTCATATCATATTACATCTCACAACATTAGTGATCCAGCGATCGGTTTGTACAGAGAAGCAAAGCATAACATGTTTATTACAGCCGCTGATAATTTATAGTATAATGGTGGTTTCGCAATCACTGCTATATCAGCGTAAAGCTTATTATTTGGTATATTAAATTACAAGCTTTGCAACACAGAGAGATGCATGAATGCTGGGGCCGGCATAATCTTATTAAAATACCGCCAATTTGCGCCATTTTAAACGTTACCATATCTGATTTAGACTGTCTGCTCGATGTGATATAATCATCTATATGTTACAGATTAATCATTTCCGAAATTACCACCAATTCATTGGGTTGACTGTGTTATAGTTTCATTTAACATGTTATAAAGCAATATATACATGACAATTTATATAGCAGTGGAGATTGTGACCTGTTCAAATTCTCTCTTTTCCGACGTCCTCTAATCTCGATACTAAAGACACGGGTTAGATAATAATCAGCTAACTCTCCTGTCACTGTCAATATCGAATGCAAATTCGCCTAGTACAACGATGAAAGAGATTTCATCTTTCCGTACTGAGTAGTCGTAGGCGATGTTGCCGCGTACCGTGCTAGCGACCGCAGATATGCATTGCAATCCTGAACATTATTTTATTGCGATATCACCTAATGAGCATTTCTTTAAAATGATGCTATTTCGGTACCACTGAATTTTGAGACCACATGAACATTTCCTGAAAGTTTTGAAAAACGTCATTATTCCTTTTCACATAAATCATCATAGGAAATTGATGACACTTTCGTAAATTTGAACATCAGTGTCTGTAGAATAGCATACCGAGGCGTACGTGCATTTAATCACGCGTTTCTATTACATTTTTTGGTCAGCGGTTCAAATCCAATCCGAACTCGAAAATGATTTCTTCTTGTTTTTGTTTCTCTTCTGAATTTATTTAATTCTGACCTATTTCAAAATCAACTCGTATGAATATTTATGTCACGTTTGTGGTAAATGAAGTCCTCAGTTGTTTTGCCTTATTAACTGCACGCTTAATAAATTGCTCCTGTATAATGCTCCCTGACACCTAATCAGTACCTGTGTTACATGTTTTCAATAGGTAGCTCTTTAGTAACCTTAAAATTTTTTTTCGCTTTGCCTCAACAGCGACTCTATAAAACAATAAAAAGCATCATTGATCATTGCAGAGATTTCTGCGTCCATGGAGCACGGGGCAGGTGATACACTTAGGAAATACTCGTTATTAGATCAGTCTTTCTCAAAGTGAGCGATTACGCCCAACTTTAGTATTTTCTGAGATACTCCATGTTCATTTCACAATTCTCTTTGTGCACAAGACTTATACTATATGATCAAATTTCCGTATACCTAGAGAAAAACCGGTAACAAGAATTTTGTAGCCGTTGTAACTTGTCTTTATCACTTTTTATTATAGCAAGGCCTTATACACTTGCACAGTATGAAACTTTTCAAGTTATGAGAACATGACACAATAGCATTTTCGGTTTACCGTTCAATATACTTTTGTGAGGATATATTTGTTTGAGAATACTATATGATTTTAAACATAATTTAATATGTAAATCAAAATTTATTCATTGTACAACCATAACCCTAAATTTTTGCTAGTGTTTACAATTGGTAATGGAACCTCTTTATAGCTTTATTTTTATTATAAAGTTTCGGTAGATACAAAAATAAAGTGATGATGGTTACCTAAATAAAAGCTTAGTTTCAAAAATGTTTCATTCATGGCATTTAGGGTTAGAGTGCCCCTGATCCTACCTAAAATTTAAGGATGCTTGAAAACATAGGAGAATGTTAAAAATTCCCATCCAAAGGTCATATTGAAAATACTATCACCACTGGTTTTGTAGACTGCAAATTTCATCGACATATAATAATAATAATAATATTTATTTACTCTAAAATACAGGGAACATGAAACGACTAAATAAATATAATATATCCATAGGAGGACAACGCCTGTGCATGGATCATATGTATGTTGAATTGCAAAATATAATAAAATAGAGAGAAAAAAGAAATTATGGGTGGTTATCTGAAATTTGGTTAACTTGGTGTTAGCATGAATTTTCACAGTATTAAAAAATATATATCCTATATCTGAAACTACTAAGCGATATTTTATAGTCTATTTAGTTCGGTCACCAATTTTGATAAATATCATAATGTTCTTTATTTCAATAAATTGACATTTTTTACTCCAAATATCAGGCCCTAGCCATGTAAGATCTGCCAAATTTAGTATTCACGTCACTGTAATCTTATTGTATTAAATAATAATTTGATGAAACTCTATTTAGATTTGTTTACTATTACATTGCTTACATTGTCATTACGATTTAATGTATAAAATAATTTTGTTTGATCACATTATTTCAAGTCAAAAAGTGTAAGCGATAAAAAATATCAGGCCCTAGTCATTTACCAAATTCAAAAATACGCAGCATCCAAACATATGACTTATTCATAACTCACTCAATACGGTAGCATCGGTGTGTAGTTGGTTGCAAACACGAGCCAAGCCGCGGCAGCAATTTTGCTATTAGTGTGGTAACCGACTTTGCTGCGGAAACACGTGCTGTGCCAGTCAAACTCTCAGGCCCTAGGTAAGTCGTTTTAAACATCTATAATTACTCATTGATCTCATTACTTATTGAATGTATGAGCTAGGTCTGCTTTGTTATTTTGACCGCCTATTGATTTTATAGTGATTTAAAATAATAGCTTTCATTTGATTTTGCTTCGTTTCGTCAGTCCCTAGACCGTCAGGCCCTAGTCGTAATAGTGACTAGGGCCTGATGCCACATCTAGGGACTGATGATCATACTGTGTGATGCATAGTTTTAATCATAATACCAATGTATTTGTTGTAGAATATGGCGCCTCTAAAGAAAAAACATTGTCTAAAGAGGAAATTGCAAAAAAAAGTCTGAACAGGCAAAGAGGCGATTGGAAAAAAATAAAAATGATCCTGTTTTGCTCGCGGAGTACAAAGAAAAGGAACGACTAAAATATCTAAAGAAAAAGGAAAAAGGACAACGGAAGTGTCTAAAAGACATGACTTCCCGTGAGCACAGAAAGGCAAGAAAAAATTGGGTAGCCTATTCATCTGATTATAGAAAAAAACAAAAGATTCGTGACAATACAGTTAAATACGTGGACCAAAATACGCCGCCATCATCGGAAGATGAAATTATTCCTGTTGCTCCTTTATTAAATAATGAAAGAGAAGCTGAAGCTAGAAAGAGGAGTATAGTTCAACGGAGAAAAAGAAATAGTATGTTGAAGAGGAAGGACTTGCTCATTGAAAATTTAAAGAAGAAACTTGCCAGCGAACAACAAAGAAACAGAAGACTGAAACATAGAATGATACAAAAGAAGCAAGCACTGACACCAGAAAGTAAAATTGTAGAAAGCAGAAGTGATAAAAAAAGCGTTATTTGGCGATATTATTCAAAGGCAAATTTTAGATAAAGAGATTCAGACACCCAAAACAAAAACCTGCTTAAAAACGATTTTTTCAAGTCCACTGACACATAAATATAAAATATAGAGACTTGGAAACACAGCCATTACATATAAAAAGATGGGATTTAATCGTACAAAATATGAAGCTATGCGAAAAAAAAAGAGAGTTGAAGAAATCATACACAAGTTTTATGAAGATGACAATAATAGTCGTTGTGCGGCAGGAAAAAAAATTAAAAAACAAAAAAGATATTTGCTGTATTCCTTAAAGAACTTGCATAAAAAATTTCACAATACGATTTTGATGAAAATTGGGTATAATTATTATTTTTGCAAATTGCGTCCATTTTGGGTTGTTGTGCCTAAGCTTACAGACCGTGATACCTGTGCTTGTGTTATTCATGAAAACATCAATTTGAAGTTAGGTGCCTTAAAAAATGCAAACGTTCTTGACTTTGCCACATATCAAACTGCACTGGAAACAATTTGCTGTGATCGTTACTCGGAAAAATGCTTAGCGAGAACTTGCCAGGACTGCTCATTGAAGATTTTACCATATAAGGAGTTTGATAATAGTAAGGACATGGCAGTCAAACAATGGAAGCATAGCATTAAGGACATTAAAACTAAACAGGATAGATACGTCACAAAGTATAAGAAAGAGATATGCAATTCAAAACCTCGTGATTTAGTTATGCAATTAGAAGAGAGTGATCTTCCAAAATTATTCCAACATGAACAGAACGTCGTTCATCAATATAAAACTATAAATCTTTGAAAGAGTCATTTACAGAAACGGATGCAGTAATTCACATGGACTTCTCAGAAAACTACACAACTAAATGCAACCAAGAAATTCAGTCGTATCATTTTGGCGGCTCCAGGACTCAAATTTCTTTGCATACAGTGGTGGTTTACACAAAGGTTAAAGTAACATCCCATTGCACTGTGTCTTTAAATTTATCTCACAACGCTGGAGCCATTTGGGCACATTTACAGCCTATCCTCTTAGGATTGCCATCCTCTGTAGAAAACCTGCATTTTTTGAGTGACGGTCCTGTAACCCAATATAGAAATAAAACAATGTTTTATATTTTGGGTTGCAGAATCCAAAATTTCTATCCACTGGCTATAAAATATACGTGGAATTTCCATGAGGCGGGACATGGGAAAGGGGCACCTGATGGAATTGGAGCTACATGCAAACGCTCTGCAGACCAACTCATAGCTCAGAGAGGTGACATTACGAACTTGTACGACTTTGTAGCTGTGCTTCGAGAAAGGTGTCCAAATATAAATGTCTCTGTTATCGAAGATGTCGACATAGAAAAAGTTAACAAAATGATCAAGGAACATGAGAAAGAGCAGAAACCGTTTAAAGGAACTCTCTTGGTGCATCAAGTCTCGGGTCATATTTATAACCCTAATAAACTTGTCTTGAAGTCACTAAGTTGCTTCTGTGATAATGACGGTTGTGACCATTATAGGTTGGGGACTATTACGTACCAAACCAATACACAGCGGCTTCAAGTTTCAGATATCTTCACAGATTCTGAAGATGATATGCCGTTAGCAAGTATGAGCCACAAAAGTCAAAAACGAGCTACGGCGGTGGCGATTATGTTCTAGTTAAGTTAATAATGAGGGGAAAAGAATACCGATACGCCGCAGTTTGCTCAAAATATGATGACGAAGATGGAGAACTGACAGTTACATTTCTTAAAGTTTGCAATAAAGATAGCACAGAATTTAAAATAAATGATAATGATATCGCCGACGTACCTTACGCAGACGTTATAGAAAAACTGCCAGTTGCTAATATAATCGTCAAGAGAAATACAGTCCTTCACAAATGTAAAAAACCCATTAATGTTTACGAGAAGTAAAACAAATAGTGAAACAAATAAATAAGAGGTACTAGATAGTTTAAGTGCGAAATATTTGTGATCTCATAATAATTAATGAAAGTCTGAATGTTGTGTTCAAATTATAATTTGGTAACTCAAAACTTTAGAAAGCTGATTATTTAAAATAATTGTTAATTTTTAAAGGACTATTAGTTTGTAAGTATTAAACTCAAAGTATAATTTGATTGTTGAGAAATATTGATAGATTATTTTCAATTGTATAATTAAAAAAATACATCCTGTACTGTGATTATAAATCATAGAATTTGTGAACTTAAGAGATTATTTTGTTGTTACGGTTGATTTTGCAATAAAAAATGTGATTTGACATAATAACCGTGTTTGGTGTCAGTCCCTATCACTTGTCGTCAGTCCCTAGAACACTGATTTTAAAAAATCATAAATTTCTCTGAAAATATCAAGTAAAGTGACTGGCCCTTTTAGATGCAGCAAAGTAGATGTTATACCTACAGCATAGAATATAAGCTGTTCTGATTTTTAACTAAAAACACCACCTTCAAAATTACATCAGAAGTTAACCAAATTTCAGATAACCACCCTATTGGTAAGAATGGTAGAGCATTTATTGTGTAATATTTGAGATTATTTTATTAATTTGATTTCTCCCAATCGTGTTAATAAATTTTTTTAATTTTTTTTTGAAGCCTAATGTATTTCGTAATTGTTTTAAATTATTTGGTAAATGTTCGTACAATTTTGGAGCTATATACAGGTGACATCGTTTCATTAGGGATTTGTTTGGTTTAGGAACATTTTTTGCGCGTAATTTATATCTGGTTTTATGATTATGTTTAATTATGTCGTGTTCACTAATAGTTTTGTGATAATGAGTGATGGTATGTAAGAAGTAAAGTTGTTTAGTATCATATACTTGTGCATCATTATATAAGTCATTAGTTGGGTATAATTTTGATTTGCCTAACATTGATTTTAAAATTCTTATTTGAAGTACATCTAAATCGTTAAAGTATGTCGTGCATGCAGCACCCCACACTCCTATACCATATGTTATGTGTGGCTCGACTAAAGCTTGATATATTATTCGTAGATAATATTCAGTTAATATACCGGTTAGAAATTTTATTTTATATGCTATGAATCTAATTTTCTTTAGTATGTGCGAAATATGTACATCCCATCTCAAGTGGGGATCTAGATAAATTCCTAAATATTTTGTATCATTAACTCTATTGATTTTTATATTTTTATCATTTACCTTAAACCGAAGGTGGTTATATTTTGGTAGATGATTAGATAGTGATAAAAATGGTAAAAAATGAGTTTTAGTAAAGTTAATTATTAATTTTCGGTTATTAAACCACTGAATAATTTTGCAAAAGTCATTTTGGATAATATCTTTTAAGTCGTTCCAATCCTTACCTTTATAGAGTATAGCAGTATCGTCTGCAAAACTGACTATTTTACCAGTACTGTTAATTTTGAATATATCGTTTAAATAAATATTGAATAACAGAGGACCCAAAATTGTACCTTGTGGAACACCACATTTAACAAACATTTCTTTACTATACGAGCTTAATAATTTTACTGATTGCGGTCTATTTGATAAATAATTTTCCATTAAAGTATACATCTTTCCACGAAAACCTATTCTTTCTAAGATTTCCAAAAGTATATTGTGGTTAACTGTGTCAAACGCTTTTTGTAAGTCCACAAATACGCATATCGATGGTACTTTTCCATCTATATTTTAGGTTATTTCATCTACTATACTTAATACCCCATCTGTTGTAGATTTGCCCGCTATAAAACCATATTGATTTGGATTTAGAATTTTGAATTTATTAAGAAAATTAATCATTTTATTAAGGAGTAATTTCTCAAAAACTTTAGCTAAACTTTATATAAGTGAAATAGGTCGATAGTTAGTGACGTCCGTATTATCATTAGATTTATAGATAGGTATGATGATTGCTGTCTTGAAAGCTGATGGAAATACTCCAGATTGGAAGGATTTGTTAATGATATAAGCAAGTGGTTCTGTTATTTGTTTGGCCAGTATCTTTAGATGTTCAGCTCTAATTTCGTCAACTCCAGGGCTTTTTTATTTTTTAGAGTCATAATGGCATTGAAAACATCCTGATAGTCTACTTCAGTTAATACAAATGAATTATTCAGTCTTGTTTCATGCAGATGAATATCAGCATTTTGTTTGATATTATTTGCTAAGTTTCCTCCTATATTCGTGAAAAATTCTATGAACTCATCACATATTTGCTGAATACTGTCTGTTTTTTGTCCTGTTTTTGTTTTTATTTCATTAATATTGTTTTTTGAATAGGATGACTTATTGAATATATCATTGACAGTGGACCATAGGTGTCTAGAGTCATGTGAATTATTATTCAATTGTTTTATATAGTAATTTTTTTTGCTTTTCTCAAAATTTCTATAAATTTGTTTTTATACTGATTATAATGATCTATATTTTCTTTCGTGGGTAAATATTTCATGATTTTATACAGTCTTTCTTTTTCGTTTGCAGATTTTATTAGTCCTTTGGTCATCCAATCATTTCTGCTTTTTTCCTTGTGACTTATTTTATATATATCCACATTTCACTTATTTCTAAATCCGTATTTGTACGTACCTACATGAATCGCTAATCTGATGCAACTTTCATAACTACACTATAAAATTCTTATTTCTATTAGCTTTTTCGCCCACAGGTGATAAAATACTTACTTCTCTACCAATTGTTAAACCTCCAAATGCAAATAATTGGTAATTAGCAATATTAGCGAGATAACCTTATCTATCGATCAAAGATTATTTGTTAGATTTCAATAGAATAAATAAATGATAACGGAGTTATGATAAATGAAGAGCGCATTTCAGTATAAAAACTTGGAGGCAGCGAGAATTGTTATCATCAGTTCAGCTGCCTCCATTATGAGAACAGCTACATTAGCCTTTTTGGGCTGCATTGCCCTTGCATGCCTTCAGGTAACTATTTTTCACCATTCCTAAAAATGATGTTGTTTGCAATAATTTCTACTGACATCATGTTTGGTCAAATCCTAACTTTCAAAAGTTATTCTGACAGATGGTTTAGCTATTTCTTCTCTAATTCTTAGTTGAGGTGAAAAACCAGTATACTTAAATACACAGGATATGAATTAGTCACTAATTTTAATTTGTACATAATATTCCAATTCTTAAAATAAAGCATTTATTTGTAATTTAAATCGTTCTGATTTTTAAAATAAATATATCAAGCATGCTAAAAATTATGTTTTTCTAGCTCGCGGAATCTGGTGTAGTAGCTGGATCTTCAGCATCTGCTGCAGCTAGGGCACAAGCTCTATCTGCCACATCCAACAAAAGAGGACTGACCAACTCTGCCGCCTTAGGACCTGCTGATACCTCTACAAACTCAAGGTCTATCAAATTCTGAATCCAATGCTGGTGCAGGGGCTACTTCTATCTCCCGTAACTCCAACAACCTTAGCGTTGGTCAATCTAAGGCTGGTGCTGCAGCTGTCTCCACCTCCCAAAGCTCCAACAATGTCAACATAGTTCAATCTAGCTCAGGCGCAGGAGCCTTAGCATTGAGGTCAGGTGGTGTTTCCCAATCCAGCAGTCTGGCTGGAGCTTCATCTTCTGTTATTGGATCTTACTCACCTATTAGTCAAGTGCAGGGTATTAGACGCGTATCAGGACAAGTTGGACTTGCCGGACTACCAGGCCTGAATGGTCTACCTGGCTCCAACGGACCTTCCGGACCAGCAGGTCCCCCAGGTCCACCTGGACCCCCAGGACCCCCCGGCCCGTCAGGTATTCCAGGCATTAACGGACTTCCAGGACCTCAAGGTCTCCCCGGATTGGACGGTATGCCAGGACTGCCAGGACCAATAGGACCAATAGGCCCAGTGGGACCTCAAGGCATTGCAGGACCTGAAGGACCGAGCGGACAAGAAGGACCTGCTGGACCAGCTGGACAACCAGGACAACGAGGACCTCAGGGATTGAGAGGACCCAGAGGACTACCAGGTATGGACTTTTAGGAACATGATCTGTTATAAGATATTTATTATAAATTTCAAGTATAACCTATTTTGTAAGAACCTTGCTGTTTCGTATTTCTTTACTGCATATGAACAGATTCATTTTATGTTACAGAATTTCCACTTTCTTAACTGTAGAACCAAGCCTTATAGAGTAATTAATTGTAGATGCCCCAAACCACACCTTGGACGACTTTGGCTTTGAAGCAAGTTAAAACATTACTTTCAACTCTTCATTCTATTCTAGGTATCCAAGGATCAATCGGACCCGTGATTCAATCACAACCCATTCAAACCCTTGCTGTATCTGGGTCATCAGCAAGAAGATCGACTAGGGTAGCTGACGGTGTATCATCTTCAGGTGCCATATCTGGGGCAACTGCTGGAGCAGTGTCAGGAGCAGGAGCTATAACTGGCCCTTCTACTGTATCTAGAGGATCTTTTTCTGTTGGTACGCAGTCTAGAGCAATTGCTGGGTCTAGAGTAGCTGGAGGAGTGTCAGGAGCAGGTGCTGCTGCAGGTGCGGCAGCTGTCTCAGAAGTTTCTGGAGTATCTAGGGGATCTTCCTCTGCCAGTGCCATTGGTGGTGCAGTAGCTGGCTCAAAGTCCAATGGAGCAGTCAGTGGATCAGCTGCTCAAGCTGATGCAAGATCTAGGTCTAAAGGTGTATCTGGGTCAAGTAAAAAGAGTGTCGTTGCAGCTGGGGCTAAAGCTAGATCTGGGTCCGTCAGTGTTGCATAAGCAACCTAAGAAGGATGAGGAATGTCGAATCGTAAATGTGGATTTGGAATTTGCAACTAAATGTTATAGCAATTACAGTTCAGAGTTTATGTAGCACATAGTTTCGATAGCATTTTATCCATAAATAGCTGACAAGATCTAAAACAATGGATCAACCTCAATGTATCCAGCAGTAAATGTAAAAAAACTCAGAAGTCAACACAGTTGACCGAAGCGTTCGTACCTTCAGTCACGTAGACAATATATTTTATAAATGTTATCTACCTAGTTTCCACAAAACCGCAAACTGTACTTTTTTGTTACGTAGCCAATTTAATGTCAAAGATGAATAACAAAATAAAATACATCACCTTGCTTGTTGTCATTCTCATTGTAGTGAGAGAACTAACGAAGCACGACTTGTAACGATTTAAGAAAAACTCAAATATGTCTTATTTCCAACTCTAAGGTGAAATCTTCATCCACAGTCCAGTGGCCAATCAGATGTCAAGAAACAAAAACAAAGGATTCTGGCATTTTATGCTGGGTGGTACCGTGAAGCCAAATCTGCAGAAGAAAATAAGTCTACTAGCACAAAAATTAACATAGATTGGGAACTGACACGCCCAGCTTACTTAGAGAACAAGTTTTATTCCAGCTTTTCGAAAATTCTTTTTCAGAAGACCTAAAAATATCGTTGGCCTCTGTAGGACAAAATTTTTATTTTCTGTTTCCGTTGTTGCAGACGAATGGAACTTGTTAGAAATCAGTTATTTGAGCAGCTGAGTTCGAATATGACCACCAATAAGTAAAATAAAAAAAATGCATAACAAAAAGAACTAAAAATTTAAAAATGATTTTTACGATACGAAATATTTAAACTGTAATGAAGCTCTTTATCACAAGTTTTCAAATCAAAGAATGTTACACCCTTGTTCCATCCGCAGTCAAAAGGCTTTTGTTTAAAAATTTGAAATCGTTTAAACATTTCCAATCGAAAATAATCATTTTTTAATATTTAGTTCGTTTTATTATCGTTGTATAAAAGCTTTTTTTTAAAAATCATTTTTTTATTTTATTTAACACACATGCCTTAACTCTAGAAAGTCGGCTATAAAAACTATTAAATCTAAGTTCAGCAAGTTCAATAGTGGATCAATTGGAGTTGACGAACTTTGCCACAAGACAACGGTTCGCAATTTTGGAAATCACCTTTGATGAGAACCTGTGCTTCCATGGTCATGTTACCAAAGCTGTTCAGAGTCCAAGTTCAGAAATCTGCGATTTGTAGGATATACGCTTGCCTCGGTACCGAACAACAAACACAATTCAAAAAGAGCTTTTCATTGTCGGCACCCGACTTGCAAAATGAAGTACCTCAAGCTTTGAAAACACTAGCTGTGTCCAGCTTTAAAAGAAAATTCAAGCTCTATGCCTTTGATAACATGTAACACGTATTTTTCAAATAATTTCATTTTTATATTTGTTTGCTTGTGCAGATTTTATCACATGTTTCTTTTCATTTCTTTGTGTTTTGTATGCTAGTGTACGTTTCCCTTTTGATCATTATTCTATGCATAGGCTACGATGCTGTAGAATTTTTTGTTCTGATATACATTTTCTCGTTCCCTCGTCTTTGTATTTTTTTTTTTGGATTTGCATGTACTTTCCTTTTTAAGCCCTGGTTGGTTCTGAAAAACAGGTTTTCCTGATGTAACCCGCTCAGTAAAATACATTGATTATGATTATTTATTATTTAAGAAGCTGTTTCAAATACAACCAGCAAAAAATAGAATAAAAAATGCATAATAAAAGGAATTGAAAATTAAAAATGGTGTTTACGATACGAAATATTTACACGATGATGAGGCTCTTTATCTCATATTTTCAAATCAAAGCATGTTACACCCTTATTCCATCTTGAATGCAAAACGCTCTTATTTGAGAATTTGAGATGAAGAAGCTTCATTGTCGTTAAAATATTTACAATCAGGAATACTAATTTTTAAATGTTCGTTATAGGTATTATCGGCTGAATAAAAGCTTGTCTTTAAGAATATATTTTTTTATTTTATATATTTCTGAGTAGTTATGATGTCAAATAACCAGCTTGGTAACTATATCACTCTACTTATTATTTTTCAGCTACAAGCCCTTTTATTTGTTGTCCGTAGTGGAAATATTGAGATTGTAAATTACCATTTAGCTGCGGCCATCATATTGGATTTAGAATGACATCACCTTGATGATTATTTTCCGCTTATCAGGTCTTTTCGTTTGACTAAGAAAAATGTAAATGGCCATTTTGAGGCGTCCGCCATGTTGGGTTTAGAATGACGCCACTTTGCTTATTGTGTTTCTTTTATCGAGCCCTTTCATACAATCATGTGTACAAAATTTCAGATCAATTGGTTAAGATTAGCTGGTTCAAAATTCAGTTCCAAGACTTGGGGCACACATATTAAAAAATAGGTCACGTGGAATAAACGCTTGTAACAAGCAGGTCAAGGTAAATAAAAGCTTCAAAAAAGGGGAATAAATGGGTAACATATAGCTTGCTCGAATGCAGAACTGTCCTTTACCATAAAGTACCCCTCAATAAGCACCGATGGCGCTGCGTTGAAATGTCCAAAGATATTTTTCCATCTCAGGAATTTCGATCAAAGCATGTACAATCCTTCATTGTCTTTTTATTCTTTGTGCCGACACTCCTAAGGCCAACTCAGAAATGGTGGACCTTTATTCCTCGCGAGTGTTTCAAATATAGCATTACTCACACAGGTGACGTAGGGTGAACAATCTTGCTTCCTAGGTCTAACCCGCTCTTGGACAAGTAACATACAATATCCGCTTCGACTATTGTGATGTATTTTTGCTTACACGGACCCAAATCCTTATTATGGGACCAAAGCCCTTCTCGTTCTCGTACGCGCTATTATTATAAGTACCAGTCAGGTTCTTCACATCGTTTGTACATACATGCACAACCAAATAAGTTTTAACTATAGAACCTCTTTATTTAACCCTTTGGAGTCAGATGTATTTCTTATTCTGATATCGTTTGATTTTATATTTCAGGTATATTGAATTAGTATTATAATCTATTAGAAATCCATTTACGCTCCTTCAAGACAAACACTTGATCGCCATTTCTATCCGTTTGTCACGAAATATGTCGATTTCAATTTTTAAGCACAAGATGAATATTATGTGCAATTCATAAAAATACTTTTCACTTTTTCACTTTTAATATGGAACAGTAAAAACACTATCGACCATGATGTGACGTCATACAAATTGTAATCAGAGAAACGTCACCCGGTTGTCACTCGTGGACTAACGCTCTCTTCTTTTAGTAATTCTAAAAAACTAAGCAATATAAAAAGTTATGGTTTTATCGCTTTATTGTAACAAACAATCATGGATGTTGGATTCGTAAAAGCAGAAAGTACAAATTTGCCGAGAATTGACACATTGATGGTTGGTAATTTTTGCCTCCAAGCCAGATTTCTGCTCTGCTGAGCTTAGAAATATGAAGAGTTAAATGTAAGTACAGTGCATCTAATATAATGACAGACATAACAACAAAGAATAAGTAATACTCACATAACATAACCACGTCAACACATTGTCTTCGTTTTCAGAAATCATTCAAAACTAAGCTCCTGTATCACAGCCTCTAAATCAGAAGGCTGAGGAGCCACAGTACTGTTTTTATTGGCCAAAAACTCGTTTATTGATATAGCTGTGTGACAAGAAGCATTACCGTGATGCAGCACCCAGTTGTTCTTGATCTGATAAATGGTTGTGTGAGTCAAGTCTATCAATTCCACGATCCACGGAAAAACCTGGGCTCTTGACAAAATATTATCTCCGTAGGCCTGTGTAGCAAGAGTTTCCGTTACACTATACTATGCCTAATTTTAGGACACAATAGAAAAAACTATTTCACAAAAAAAACGGACAACCAAATGACTCGAGCGAAATTAAACTTGTACTGAAGACAGATCACAACATGTTCCCTTGTCTCTCCTCCAAGCGCGCTGCATCTAGTATCCAACGCTAGTCTCAGAAGGTATTACAGACCTCGGAAGGTACGCCTCAAGCAATACACAGGGTTGCGTATCCCAGTCAGCACGTTGTCGTGGAATCGACGTAGATATTTGGTGATTTTGGTCGAAGTGGAAATTTAGGGATAATCGTCAAGTTATGGATCAAATTTCGCTTAAATTTGTCCGATATAACCACATCACGTCGATAAAACGTGAATATTACGACGTGTGTACGCCTCTATACCAATTTCCACTGCCTCGAATAAAACCCAATTATGTTGCAGTTACTTAACCGATTAATTAACGTCAACGTATTAGTTTTTTATAATTTACTCCTGTATTCTTATAATATAATCGATAAAGCGTGGAAATCCGGTGTAGCACGTCACTGGTCGACGAGGGACGTTTTATCTACGTGAAACAGTGACCGCAAATACATCTGTACCTGGGTTGGTTATTTATACACGTGGAAAAGACGCGGATGTGACGTGGCATTTTATCATAAATTTAAATTGTAATCTTCCAAATAGAGAATGTCCGAATGATGATGATAAGTGTTTGGGTGATGTAATTTATTTGTAGATACATCCTGGTGTCATAAATATAAAAGCGCATATCGAACCTAAAATGCTTTGCGAGATTTGTTATAAATAATAATGCCTTGTAAACATATGTATTAGTCATTATTAAGTGAAAATCATCGACCACCTTAGTGAAATAATAAGATATGAAAGTGTGACTGAGAATTAATTATAATATCGATGTTTCCCCATTTCATGACCAATAAATTTTAAATATCGCGCCTTGATAGGGGAAGCGACAAATGATAAAGGGTGCCATAGCTGCATTGCCAGATTGCAGAATTTTCAATCACAATCAAAAAGATTTTTACATACTTATATCTCAGATTTGGAAAGCTACAGATGGTTTTCTTGTTATGATTACTTTTGTAATGATGAAATTTTTTTGCGTCTATATAATGCTTTTGGCTGAAGCTGATCTTTGTGTGTCGTTCCGTCTTCCTTTGATCTATCCTTTTTTTCATAGCTATACTATTAAAAATTTCCTAGACTTCATAAATAGTTGTTTTCTGATTGAGTCTAGTACATTTCCTGTGGAATTTTATATAAACCAACTCCATAACATTTGGAAACATTGAACAAGCAGCATTAGGCAACCATGTTTTTGAACAGACATCCGATCCAATCAAAGCCACACCCACGCTCCACATCAAGAACCTCATGTTGTTTCGTACGTCGCGTTCTCCATCCTGCATCAATTTTGCATTTTGCGAAATGTGCACGTATCTTTATCTTCCTGT